GCACATTTTAAGATACCGGCACATTTTCGGACACATTTGCAGAGGATCGAATTATGGATTTAGGTTAGGTTTATGTATGGGTCACTCACCGCTGATGTTCAGAATTCTTTGTTCAGTTTTCATGCAGTTCCAGAGAGTTCTAGTTTGGAAGTTACCAGCCTAACTGTTGCCCGCGGTTGCCGAGCAACGGGAAAACTTTTTGGGACTACTTTATTTGTTGTCATTAAATAAACTTTTGGCATTCATAAAAGTGATCTGAAGTTTATTTTGTATGTTAAGTTGGTACAAAGCAGTATAATAAGCGGGATAATGTATAGCATACAGGTCATTATCGGAAAATAAGTACCTTCAGGGCAGGGCGCAGCGGAGGGGTCTGCTTCCGCCCTGTCGGTACTTATTTTCCGATAATGACCTGTATGCTATACATTATCCCTTACATATACTTAGTGTCAAAAGTGGTTGATGATGATTTCTCTCAAAGTTCAGGAGCATAAAAAACCCAACACTTATTTTTTACAATAATATTAAGATTAAGATACCCTTAATTAATAATAATAATAATACTAATATTATCGTACTTATATAGAGCTTTTTGGGCACTCAAAGACACCTTACAGAAGAAAAATAAGAAACAGAAAATAAAAAGCTAAAAATAAACAGTTAAGTGTGGGCAGTTTTGAGCAGGAGGGTTTTGAGAAGTGATTTGAAGTTTTGTAGTGAGTCAGAGTTCCTAATGTGTGGTGGGAGTGAGTTCCAGAGAGTGGGGGCAGCTGCAGCCACTCTCTGGGACCCAAAATTTGGCACTCGATCTGTCCTGATGGGAGTGAGGAGGCTGGAGTCTCTGGATTTGAGGCGGCGGGTGGGACAGTGATGATGGAGGAGGAAATTAGGTTAGAAGGGGCAGGTTATGGAGGGATTTGTAGGTGAGAAGCAGCACCTTGTATTTTTTGCGGTAAGGATCATAGAGCCCGTGGAGTTGTTTGAGGACAGGGGTGATGTGTTCTCTGGAGCGGGTGTGGGTGAGCAGGCGGGCGGCAGAATTCTGGATGTATTGCAGTTTTTGTAGATGAGTGGAAGGGAGACGGTTGACGAGGCTGTTGCAGTAATCGGCATGGATGAGGATTTCTGCAGTGGCTTGTGTGAGGGAGGGCTGGATTCATTCGTCTCACAGTGGGGAAATTTCAGTGTTTTCACTTTTTACAGAACAGTAGAAATGAAGAGTACAAGAAGCAAGAACTAAGTACTTTAACATAATAAGACGTATAAAGCCTCTATCTTTTGCATAATAAATTGTATAAAACACTGTATATTCTAGTGCAAGAAATGTATAGTTGTATGTATAAGTTGCACAGACCTGCTTTAGTGCTTATTCTCTCTGAGTTTGGACAAAGTTATTATTAAGTTTGAAAGTTATTATTATTACACCGAGTTGGAGAGTCCAGGAAGCAGCAGAGGGATGAGTGTTTTTGCAGAGTGGAGCAAAGAGGATGCAGAGGAGAGACTGCAATGAATCACTCCTGTTTCTACTATAGATTGGAGATATTTCACACATTTAAATTTAGTTTCGGACCTCTCCTTCCTCCGCTCTGAGACTCGCAGAGGAAGCGAAAAGCCCCTTCCCACTGTATTTTCTAATTCAGGCAATGCATTCGTACAGCTGCCTTTCTCTTCTGTCCCACGTAGCTCTTTTTGAACCCGGAGATCTGCGCTTCGAGGCGGACAGGGATCCCAAAATGGACCCTTCCATCGTAGAGACCACGGAGAAAGCCATCCGCATCCTGCAGAAGAACAAAAACGGGTTCTTTCTGCTGGTGGAAGGTGAGTTTAGGGGAGCAGTTAAAACAATCATTGATCACAACCAGAATGTATTTGTTACACTGCGAAACGTAATGAAAATAAGTAAAAAATTGCTCTAATTTGGAAAAATGTCTCTTAATTTGAACACATTTTGGCTGCCTTAAAGGTGCACTGTGTAGTTTTTACTCCCATCTAGCATTGAGATCATATATTGTAATTTATGGTGCTACGGTAGATTCGCAGGACAAAATGTGGTCCCCAACTCCTGCTCAAACTCCTTTTTGTCCCTCATCAACCACTGTATTTCAAGATGGTGCATTGACATGTAGAGTCCCCCAGCCTCATGGACATTTATAAGTCACATTCTAAGTCTATGACCACAATTCAAAAACATGGTAGAGGCAAATATTCCTAAAAAGGTCACATTTGTTATTAGTTCACATGTTTTATCATTTGGAGCAACTGTAAAAATGGTGCAGAGTACCTTTAAAACTAGATTTCCCGATGGAACAATGAGCAAAATCCGCTCCTCCTGGACGGACGGGCTATAGATCCAGGACCTAAGATACATTAAGCTATATCAATAACATAACCCATGGAAGAACATTACACATGAAAAGTGTAGGTAGAGATTTGTGGGAAGCTAAGTTACTGTATCAAGTGTTCTGGAATGAGGATCTCGTTTAGAAATTCTGCTACTTTGGCCGCTAAAGTAACTGCTAGAGTAGCGGCTAAGGTAACGGCTAAAGTAGCGACTAAAGTAGCGGCTAAGGTAACGGCTAAAGTAGCGGCTAGAGTAAAGTGACTTCTTCTCTTGTTCGACTTGAGGTGGGAGGATCGACCAGGCTCACCACGAGGGCAGAGGGTTCATGGCGCTTCACGAAACAGTGGCCTTTGACTACGCCATCGGCAAAGCTCTGGAACTGACCAATGAGAAGGAGACTCTGGTGGTGGTGACCGCTGACCACTCCCAGCCCATCATCTTCAACGGCTACCCTTTCAGAGGGCAAAGCGTTCTGGGTAACCACCACAATACACAATATTTTAACGATAAGACAAATACATGTGATGATCAGTTCTTAATTTTCCTTTCATCTAAATAGAGTTGCTTTAAAGGGGAGGTACTCATGTTTATGGGTGTTTTTTTCTTATGTTTCTAACAGAATTTCATGTCATTAATCAGAATCACAACTACTTTTATTGCCATTGTGAGTAACAGGAAGTCACAAACTAGGAAATTGTTTTGGCTCTCGGTAAAAAACAAGTTGTAAAAGTAGAAATAGTATATGGCATGCATGAAAATAAATACAAAATATTCATAACATATATTCAATAGTGCGCTCAATAGACACAATATACATTTAGCACTTTATGCCGCTAAAGTGACAGTAGCATAAAGTGACGGTCGTAACCATACCATAACCATATCATCACCAAAATTTAGATTTTCATTTATTCTTGCATGTTCTGTGCGGATTTTGCAGTCAAAGCCTCAGGAATCTGAAAATGTCTATTGTACCTTCCACCTATCCCACCGTTTGTCTGTAAAAGTACAATTCCAACTCTAGGTCACACATTTTGTCAAGTTAGAAAATAGACAATTACCTGTGCATTCTAATTATTTTCAATCATCAAAAATAAAATCATAGCAGGGAAATTAAAAAGAAGAAGAAAGTTTTTGAATATTACTTCGATATAACCTGGATTTAACAAACATGTGTTTATTCTGGCTCTGAAATTCATAAAACGAGGACAAGCTGGTAACAAAACCCATTTTTTTGAATCTGGATTATCCCCAATAACATCAGAGACACGGTTCCCTTTTAAATAACAGAAATGTAGCTCTTTTTAGCCCAGAAATGATCTCTAGACACATTTAGCATTTAGCAGTATCACATACTAAGTCAATACCCACATACTAATTACCTTTAATGGTATAGCGGCCCTGATGTCTCAAAATTAAAGACAAAGTTATTTTCCCACAATGAAAAAACCACAAAAACGTAAGTGATTCTGATTTAAGTGTAAAAGGGTTTCAAAGCAGACACTCTACAAATACAGTTTATAAAAGAGTTTGATGCTATGAAATTCCACAGGGGTTTTCCAATTCTGCCATTTTGTCTTCAGACTAATTGCGCAGCCTTTGTATCTTTGCCGTTTTCTCACCGGACTGAAAAACGGACCTGGTCTATATGAAGATGTGGATAGATTACTGGTCAAATGATCCTTAAGGTCAGCAGGATGTGCTATTGATTCAAAAAAACCTCTCCCTTCTCCCAACGGCACCGATATAATGAATGTTCTTATGACGTCCTGGGGTTTGTCTGTGTAAACATCAGCCCTGACCGGTCTGTTAGTCCTGGACCTGGTTTAGACCAGGTTTAGAAATGGTTTAGTCCTGCTTTTATAATTGCTTTAGACCTGATGTAGATCTGAAGAAGTACTGCTTTAGTCCTGCTTTAGACCTGCTGTAAACCTGCTTTAGTCCAGCTTTAGACCTGCTTTAAGCCTGCTTTAGTCCTGCTTTAGACCTGCTTTAGTCCTGCTTTAGACCTGCTTTAGTCCTGCTTTAGTCCTGCTTTAGACCTGCTTTAGACCTGCTTTAGACCTGCTTTAGTCCTGCTTTAGTTCTGCTTTAGACCTGCTTTAGTCCTGCTTTAGTTCTGCTTTAGTCCTGCTTTAGACCTGCTGTAGACCTGCTTTAGACCTGCTTTAGTTCTGCTTTAGACCTGCTTTAGACCTGCTTTAGTTCTGCTTTAGACCTGCTTTAGTCCTGCTTTAGTCCTGCTTTAGTTCTGCTTTAGACCTGTATTTAGAACTGCTTTAGTCCTTCTTTAGACCTGCTTTAGACCTACTGTAGACCTGCTTTAGTCCTGCTTTAGTCCTGCTTTAGACCTGCTTTAGACCTACTGTAGACCTGCTTTAGACCTGCTTTAGACCTGCTTTAGTTCTGCTTTAGACCTGCTCTAGTCCTGCTTTAGTTCTGCTTTAGACCTGCTTTAGACCTGCTTTAGTCCTTCTTTAGACCTGCTTTAGACCTGCTTTAGACCTGCTTTAGACCTGCTTTAGACCTGCTTTAGACCTGCTTTAGTTCTGCTTTAGACCTGTATTTAGAACTGCTTTAGTCCTTCTTTAGACCTGCTTTAGACCTGCTTTAGAACTGCTTTAGTCCTTCTTTAGACCTGCTTTAGACCTGCTTTAGACCTGCTTTAGTTCTGCTTTAGAACTGCTTTAGTCCTTCTTTAGACCTGCTTTAGACCTGCTTTAGACCTGCTTTAGACCTGCTTTAGTTCTGCTTTAGAACTGCTTTAGTCCTTCTTTAGACCTGTTTTAGACCTGCTTTAGACCTGCTTTAGACCTGCTTTAGACCTGCTTTAGACCTGCTTTAGTTCTGCTTTAGACCTGCTTTAGTTCTGCTTTAGACCTGCTTTAGACCTGCTTTAGACCTGCTTTAGACCTGCTTTAGATCTGCCCTAGACCTGCTTTAAACCTGCTTTAGTCCTGCTTTAGGTCTGCTTTAGACCTGTATTTAGAACTGCTTTAGTCCTTCTTTAGACCTGCTTTAGACCTGCTTTAGACCTGCTTTAGACCTGCTTTAGTTCTGCTTTAGACCTGTATTTAGAACTGCTTTAGTCCTTCTTTAGACTTGCTTTAGACCTGCTTTAGAACTGCTTTAGTCCTTCTTTAGACCTGCTTTAGACCTGCTTTAGACCTGCTTTAGACCTGCTTTAGACCTGCTTTAGTTCTGCTTTAGAACTGCTTTAGTCCTTCTTTAGACCTGCTTTAGACCTGCTTTAGACCTGCTTTAGACCTGCTTTAGACCTGCTTTAGACCTGCTTTAGACCTGCTTTAGACCTGCTTTAGACCTGCTTTAGTTCTGCTTTAGACCTGCTTTAGTTCTGCTTTAGACCTGCTTTAGACCTGCTTTAGACCTGCTTTAGACCTGCCCTAGACCTGCTTTAGACCTGCTTTAGTTCTGCTTTAGAACTGCTTTAGTCCTTCTTTAGACCTGCTTTAGACCTGCTTTAGACCTGCTTTAGACCTGCTTTAGACCTGCTTTAGACCTGCTTTAGACCTGCTTTAGTTCTGCTTTAGACCTGCTTTAGTTCTGCTTTAGACCTGCTTTAGACCTGCTTTAGACCTGCTTTAGACCTGCCTTAGACCTGCTTTAGACCTGCTTTAGACCTGCTTGCTTTCCTTCCGTCACCTACAGAGACACTGTAATGTTAATGTAGCTGTTGCTGTAGGAGTTCTGTTCAAAACCTCCTTGTTTTAGAAAATGTGTGTAAAAATGACGTGTTTTCATTTGTTCAGGTAAATCTCCGCTGTGGGCTCAGGACTTTAAGCCCTACACGATGCTGATGTACGGGAACGGACCAGGACACAAGCTCATCAATGGCTCTCGGCCAAATCTCAAGGACGTCGACACCAGTAAGAAAAAGTTTATATAATCTATTCTGTACTTTACTATAGAAAACTATAATCTATTCTGTACTTTACTATAGAAAACTATAATCTATTCTGTACTTTACTTTGGATGAAACAGCACTCAGAAAAACTAATAAGTGTAGTTTGTAATGTAAGCTTGGACAACAGTATTTCAATCTGTAAAGATCTGTATTAGGGGGAGGAGCCAGTGTAGAGGGAGGATCCAGTGTAGAGGGAGAAGCCAGTGTAGAGGGAGGATCCAGTGTAGAGGGAGAAGCCAGTGTAGAGGGAGGATCCAGTGTAGAGGGAGAAGCCAGTGTAGAGGCAGGATCCAGTGTAGAGGGAGAAGCCAGTGTAGAGGGAGGAGCCAGTGTAGAGGAAGGATCCAGTGTAGAGGGAGGAGCCAGTGTAGAGGGAGGAGCCAGTGTAGAAGGAGGAGCAAGTGTAGAAGGAGGAGCAAGTGTAGAGGGAGGAGCCAGTGTAGAAGGAGGAGCAAGTGTAGAGGGAGGAGCCAGTGTAGAAGGAGGAGCAAGTGTAGAAGGAGGAGCAAGTGTAGAGGGAGGAGCCAGTGTAGAAGGAGGAGCAAGTGTAGAGGGAGGAGCCAGTGTAGAAGGAGGAGCAAGTGTAGAGGGATGAGCCAGTGTAGAGGGAGGAGCCAGTGTAGAGGGAGGAGCCAGTGTAGAAGGAGGAGCAAGTGTAGAGGGATGAGCCAGTGAAGAGGAAGGAGCCAGTGTAGAGGGAGGAGCCAGTGTAGAGGGAGGAGCCTGTGTGGCGCCATGACGTCTCTTTTGGTCTTTTTATCTGAATTTACGCTTAATCTTCATTAACAGGTGTCATTTTGGCTCCATTACCAAATCAGAATTTTTGTTTACAATCTAGTGAGGGGAAGGTGCTTTTGTGTTATGAATATTCAGAACACAACTTGGTTAATAAAAAATCTATGACAATGCAGGTGACCCCACTTCATCACTGCACAGAAGGAGAGCACAAAAATCCACAACAGGCTATATAAAAAATGATTAATTACTTAAATCTTCGTCCCTCAAAGGGAGTTCTCCACTTTCATGTCCTCTCTTACTAAATGTTTCGTAGTAATTGATGTACATTTTCTAAGATTAATTTTCACTTTACACACTATTACCTTTCCAACACAACGACATCACGTTTGCACTTTTATGTTTGATTTTTCTTATTTGTTAAAGCCTCACGTGTATAGAATGTGAACATATTTTTATTCTCCAGAAACCAAAGACTTTGTGCAGTATGCGGCGGTGCCCACAGAGTCGTCCACTCACAGCGGCGAGGACGTGGCGGTCTTGGCTCGCGGCCCCATGTCACACCTGTTCCACGGAGTCCAGGAGCAGAACTACATCGCTCACGCCATGGCCTACGCCTCCTGCGTGGGGGAGGACCAGAGCCACTGCTCCTCCTCCGTCAGCCCCACCCTCGACGGCGCGAACAACCTCGCTGCGGCCACCGGGGGCGCTCATTTCAGCCGTCTGCTCTCTGTGCTGCTGCTGATGCTCGCGCTCTTCCACTGAGCCGGACTCTGTGGGACTCTCTACATCTACAGCTAATACTGAGTCCTTCTTGGCTACAATTGACAGATGCTCTCAGTCCCTGCATCAAGCTGCTGTTCGTGCAATAACCTTCCTCCTCCCCATCGCCTCCTCATCAATGGCTGAATCACTCTGTTTTATATTTCTGCTGGGGTCTAATCTGCAATTTTATTGAAAATGTTATGTTCCAACACAACACATATTTTGGTTTGACAAATAGCTTCTAATAGTGCAGCTAGTCTTAATATACTCAATACTCAATAAACTTAATTTGAATGTATCTTTGTTTTGATGATTTCAGGATTGAATTAGAGGTTTCATAGTTTTGACCTAGCCTGGCCATAGCCATCTGTGCACTCCGCTCAATCATCATTTCACTGCATGTAACGTCTGGGTCTGGTCCCTGTGTTTGCGATTACAAACGGTTGAATTCCATCTTACCAATCAGTGTGCGCGGGAGGCGGGTGTTGTGTATGTGGGTGACGTCAAGAGTTTGCGTTGAACGGGCAGGTTGTAGTTTGGCAACGCCAAAGAATGTGATAGTAAAATAATCCGGTCTGGTTCTATCAAGAAATTGAAGCCGGCGTAATAGGAATGTTTAGCAAATGTAATCGCTGGCAAAGATTGTGGCGCTACTCCCCGCGGGCTCCGTTAGCGGCAAATAAGACTCTTGGTTTAATGCTAAATGCTAACGACAGACTCGGGCTCATGGTGACGGTAAACTCAGATCCAATGGTTTCAGTCTGCAAAAAGAGTTAACCCCTCCCACCTGTAAACGGAGCTCAATGGAGCACTTCCAGACCTTAGTACGAAATGTAATGTGTACTATGGTGTGGAACGACCAGGCTAGTTTTGATCATATTTTGTGTTAGAATTGTGAATGATAACAACACAACATGCTTCTCATCATTAGTGAGAAGCAACATAGACATTTCCCCTCTGTGGGACTAATAACGTTCTCTTATTTTATTTAATGTCAAACGCTTCGCTCAAACTGAAGCCTTGTGGTTGAGTCCAGGCATCTGAGACATAGACAGACACTAGTTTTCAGTTGTCCTCTCCTGCTGCTTTGAGATCATTTAACTAGATCAGAAGCAAAACAACAGAAATACAGATACTTTAAATTAAAATGAGTGGTAAAAAAGTGTATCTAGTTTGTATTGGGGACATGTCGTTTTTCTTTCACAATGTTTAATGATACACACACACACACACACACACACACACACACACACACAAACACACACACACACACACACACACACACACACACACACACACACACACACACACACACACACACACACACACACACACACACACACACACACACAATGAGATGGCAATGAGAACTGCTGTCTGAGAATTTGGAACTAAAATGATGCCATAAAGACAAAAGTACATGTAGCGTATGTGAAAACTAGTGATATATAGAACCTACAAGTTTTATGATTTTTACATTCCATTTTCTGTTTTTCCGAGTCTCCCCAGCTTTAATATCCGCTTTGCTAATTGAGTTTTGCAGCTGTAACTACATGAGCCCATTAATTATGCACAACATTTAAACACTCCCTATTTTTATCCGAGCTGAGTGATTGCTGTAATGATTTTGGGCATCTTCTGAGGATTTGGACTTTATTAAAAACTTGGGTTTGGACTCCCCTCGTGCTCATTTAGTCCTAGCCCCGGGACATTATTTTGGATTTCACAAAATGAGCTAATCTTTTACACCGGTTCAGACAGACTCATTTGAGAAAGAGTTATCTGTGTCCCGGGGGAGGAGGCGGCGATTGGGAACGGGGCCTTTTTCTTTTCGTACAAATGTCTTCTACTTTTGGAAATAACTTGATTGTATCTATAAAACAAATTATGAGGTTTATTTTGAAACAACATGGAACATCTGAGCCGCTCCGGATCAGATGCCGTATTTCCTAGAGTTTCAAGCCAGAGGGTGAGACAATCTGACTTGTGGTTGCTTTAATGCTTCAGAAAATACGTTATTAAAGTTAAGAAAAAACGCCTCTAACTGTGTAAGATTTGCATCACAAGGTTCAAAAAATGTTGTCTGGACCAAAACCAAACATAAGGCAAGGACAACTGGTGTAAAATCATCTAAGTAAGTCAAGTATTTTTTATTTATATAGCGCCTTTCACAGACCAGAGTCACAAAGCGGTTTACGGTTGGGGGCATTTGTCTCTCACTCCACAGAGAGATGGAAGCGGGGTCAGTACAGGAGACACATGCCATATCTACTGTATGTTTTTAGTGGTCTCTCTCTTTCTCTCTATCATTTTCCCGTCTCTCTCTCTCCCTTCCTCTCTCTCTCTCTCTATCGTTTTCCTGTCTCTTTCTCTCTCTCTCTCTATCTCTCTTCCTGTCTCTCTCTCTCTATCGTTTTCCCCTCTCTGGCAGCGGCACGGTGGCTGAGTGGACAGCACTCACGCCTCTCAGCAAGAAGGTCCTGGGTTCGAATCCCGGTCGGACCATGGTCTTTCTGAGTGGAGTTTGCATGTTCTCCCCGTGTCTGCGTAGGTTTCCTCCGGGTACTCTGGTTTCCCCTACCACTAAAAATATGTCCAATAGTTCTGGCATGTGCCTCCTGTACTGGCGACCACGCTCCCATCTCTGTGTGGATTGAGAGACAAATGCCCAAAAATAACAATTGTAAACCGCTTTGAGACTCAGATCTGCAGTGAAAAGGCGGTATATAAATAATAATTACTTACTCTCTCTCTCTATCGTTTTCCTGTCTCTCTCTCTATCTCTCTCTCTATCTCTCCTCCAGTCTTTCTCTCCCTCTCTATTGTTTTCCCATCTCGCTTTCTCTCTCTCTATTGTTTTCCTGTCTCTCTCTATCTCTCTTCCTGTCTCTCTCTCTCTCTCCCTCTCTCTCTATGGTTTTCCCGTCTCGCTCTCTCTCTCTATTGTTTTCCTATCTCTCTCTCTATCTCTCTTCCAGTCTTTCTCTCTCTCTCTCTCTCTCTATTGTTTTCGCGTCTCTCTCTCTCTCTCTCTCTATCGTTTTCCTGTCTCTCTCTCTCTATCTCTCTTCCTGTCCCTCTATCGTTTTCCTGTCTCTCTCTCTCTATCGCTCATCCCGTCTCTCTGTCTCTTCCTGTCTCTCTCTCTCTCTCTCTCTCTTCCTGTCCCTCTATCGTTTTCCTATCTCTCTCTCTCTCTCTCTCTTCCCGTCTCTCTCTCTTTCTCTCTCTCTCTTCCTGTCTCTCTCTCTCTATCTCTCTTCCTATCTCTCTCTCTCTTCCCGTCTCTCTCTTTCTCTCTCTCTTCCTGTCTCTCTCACTCTATCTCTCTTCCCGTCTCTCTCTCTCTCTCTTCCTGTCTCTCTCTCTCTCTCTCTTCCTGTCTCTCTCTCTCTCTCTCTTCCTGTCTCTCTCTCTCTGCTGATAAATGATTTTTTAGTTGCCTGTTGTCCTTTATGTTGCACTTGTGTGGATGGATCAACACAAGCTGCAGTTCTACCATAAAACAATCCACAAAATACATAACAACCAGAAGAACTTGTGCAGGGGCCTCCAACCTGTACTGTAGCTCGGGACTCACCAGTAGCTCGCCACCCTCTTCCAGGTAGCTCGCCAAAGGATTTAGAAATGAACAAATTGAATAATATACAGGATATTTCAAATTGCATTATTCATTACCATTTTTTATTATTGTAAATGCACTTACCTTGTCACTAGTAAAAATGTTCAATGATAAATACTGACTGCACCCAAAATCAGGCTCGTTCACACCAACAAATCACCATTTTTTTCCCAGGGTCGCTTACAAGAGTAGTTCTCTGACTTTGTCGACCCGGGAAAGTATCTCTCTGAATGAAAAAGGTTGGAGACACCTGAACTAGTGCGTCTCAAACAACACAGTATAGATTTGCGATGACATTTTACAATATAGATTTTATATGACGAGCGAGAAAAGGAAGAAAAACAGACAAAACGTGTTTGTTTAAACTTCTATTTCCTCCCACTCTGATAACGCTCTGTGAGTCGTGCTTTCAGCTGAGGACAGAGACACTTTATTGTTGCCCTTGGCCTAGTTTTAGTTTCTCACTGCTCTTTAAACCCAGGTCTAAAGCTTTTATACATAACTGATAACCTCCAGTTTTCAGTTATGTTTAAATGTTACAACCTTTTGTTTGCACCGGAAAGAGCCACTGCCAACGAAATGTCAAGGACTGATCTGGACGTCGCTCTCTCTCTGCACTTTCACTTTAATTCAACTATGGAGAGATTTTTTTTCAGCAGAATCACAGTATACAGAAGGGGTGACAGTGGCTCAGTTGGTGGAGCACAGGTCTTTGGACCTAATTGTTGTGGGTTCAAGCCCACCACGACCCATGTCACCTGCTCCCACTAATGTCTGCTGTCGTTGTGTCCCTGGGCAAGACACTTAACCCCACATTGCCTGAAGCCCCCGCTGAGAGACCAAGGCCATCTCATTGTTGTCGGAGAAGCCACCTGCAGGAGGATCAGAGGGACTGGTGCAATGAGACTTGGGTGGCAGCTCAGATTGCCTCCCCCTCTCCCAGAAATGGAATAATAAACGGGCAGAAAATGACAGCACATTATACAAGATGAACAGTCTTTAAAACACTGGTAAATAGTCTCTTTGGCTCAAATACCGCAGTGATAATGACAGGCGTCTTCTCCGGTGGTTTTCAGATGTAGGTTAAAAACAGAAGGATTTTTATCTTTACTCCTTATAATGCACTGTAGCTATTTATGATTTTAATCCCATGTTTGATTTTAATGTTTTGTTTTTATTTATTTATTTGCTCTTATTGTGTGTGTGTGTGTGTGTGTGTGTGTGTCGGCGCTTTGTGTTGTCTTGTGTAGGAAAGGCACTTTACAAACAAAAATTTGATTCATTGAAATGATCAGACTCTGCTAGAATACAGAATAAAAAGTGATTCATGAATAAAAACAGAATATAGGCAAGTTACAGGCCAAGCTTTGTAACCTGAGTCTCCTGCAAGAGGGCAAAGATGGAAAGACAAAGAAGGACACAAACGCTGCTTTCCTGTATAGTACCTCATGGATGGGTCAAGTTACCGGATGTCATAAACACATTTGCCATTTGATAATAATGTAAACTGGTTAAACTCCGTGTCTCGGGGTCTCTCTACAGCCTCTATTGTCCGTCCAGACGTCCACAGCCTCACTGACCCCAGATAAGGCTCATCAGTAGAATCAGCAGTCTCAGTAATTTGGCCAAAATTTCCCAAAGAGGTGAATATTCAGACAGTTTTTATTTCCACATAGATTCAACTTTATTTATATGTTTTTACTCAAATTTTTGGGCTGTAATTCAAATTTTCTTACGTTCAACTCAGGCGCAACAGGCTTCTCTCTCTCTCTTTTTTCTTCTGCCGCTGCTGTTGCTGTTCCGCTACTGTCCTGTCAGGGGCGCAAGAACCACAGAGACCGCAGCGCTCCCGAACGTGCCTTTGAGCGGGTTACGAAACAGTTCAGGGTGCACTGCAGGAGAATGGGAATGGCGCATTAAGAGGTCTATAAATAATGTTACCAAAAGTAATTTATGCTACTGCTGTCCCATCAGGCCAATCGCATCCAGAACACTGTGAGTCCAGCTGATGTTGATCTATCACCGACTTACATTTGAGAGAAGATATAACAGAATAGACAAGAAAAAACTCTTTATTATTATAACAATGAGCTTAGCAAATTAAGACAAAGCACGGCAAGCCATAACACCATAAATTAAGATAGCGTTTCCATGCCGACAATCGGTTAAATGACCCAAAGAAACATTAGTGTCTTAATTATAGGCCGTGTTTTAAAAGCCTCATTTTCTGCCACTACAGAAACATTAAGGAGATGTGGAAATAAAAGCACAAATGCACAAACAAAACGGTCAGTGTGCGTCTTGTACAGTTTGTGTGCTTTGTCATTTGCTTGAATCACAATAGTTTTGTTTTTAAGATACTTTTTTATTTCTCAGATTAGGGATTATGGAGTAGTTTGGAGGAGCTGGAGCCATAAGTGTCCTCTGTCGTTCATCCATCTTTCCAGAGTCACTTTATGCATGCTGTGTGTGTGTGTGACTGTAAACTCAAAACAAACCAAAATAAATAAAATCCAGAATAAAAAATAAAAAAACAAACAAATTTTACAGTGAGCTCGTGGTAGCTCTAAATTGCAAACTTCCAGAGTCACTATCGGACAAAGTGTCAGCAGCTGCCAGTATTTGTCTTACCGTATTTGTGTGTCAAAGACTGATCTACTTGTATTTCTGAAGCTAAGCAATGCAGAGCCTGGTTAACACTCGGATGGAAGACCTCAGTAATGTACACGATGCTACGTTCAGCTCGTTGGCAAAGACTTGGCGTACGTTCTACTTCTTCCCACTTCGATAATTCATAAATGACTTATTGTAAATATATTGAGGCTGGTGGAGGTTGTGGCAAATGTAATTATACTTTGTGATTTTAAATATCTGAATTCACATTGAAGAAAAAAGAAAAAGAATAAAGTCTATTATCAGCACAAAATAAAACCAGAAATTAAAAAGGTGGGACCAGTGTGATATCAGGTGCTACATACAGTGTGCTGGGTGTAGCTCTAAAGTGCAAACTGCTGTTGTGCCCTGTGGCAAAACATGCATAAATCTTGAGTCTGTGAATGATTGATGGTCAGAGGAACCAATGAGAGCCTCACCTCCTCCGGTCAACCGCAGGGCAGCTGTGGCTACTAGAGTGGTTTAATAGTGGTGTAAGAAATGTATAATTACTCAGTCTGTAGTTTATATTCTAGTCGTTGGTTTTATCGAGAAATGAATACAAGGCAGCAATGATCGCACCTGTACCCGGTTTATTTTCGAGTAATTTCAGATTTAAAAAAAGGAGACAACGGTTTATGATTTGTATCAATGTGCATAAGAACCAGTGGGGGTGTACCCGGAAAGAGAATTACCCCAAGCTTTTGTATGGCGTCTTCTTTCCTCTCTAAAACAGCTTTACAGGATGGTCCAAAAGTCGCTCTTGGCCCAAAGCTGCGTTCCAGATGTGTGTCAACGCTGAGGGGAGTACTTTTTATGGGACCAGTCTAGTTTAGTCACTGTGGACTTCAGAATGCACTGGTTAAAAAAATGGGGCACATTTTCCAGCCCCCGCGGCCCTTTTGAAAAAGCCCCATAGAGGGAATAAGTGGTGGCACATTAGTTTCAACGGCGGAGATTGGCGTGAATACGTCCTTTTATATTTAAGGTCTATGGAAAGAACAGAAACGTCATCACTTGAGATATTAGCGACGCATGCTTCAGATATAGACAACATAGTAACAATGTGAGTCAGAACAAATAAGTTCAATTACACACACACACACACACACACACACACACACACGTTTTTGTTACCTGGTGGGTCCCTTTGACAGGGCCGTTCAGAATGGGACCCATAGACATAATCTTTTTTTACTGGGACTACTTTAAGTAATACAAAACAGTCAATAGAAACCAAACAACTATTTTAAAGGAATTTTATTTTAGATTTTTTTTTCGAATTGCAGTGATTCTATTTTTGACATAGAATTTAATGCCACTCCATGTCCGATGTCTAAGGTCATCTGGTGAGGCATTAATGCAGGCCAGGCCAGGCCAGGCCAGGCAGTGAGACTTCCCAGGTACTTTTCCAGTCTGTATGAAAGGAGTCATGGTCTTCTCCACAGCCTTCACCTCAGATGCAGACCATGGCTTTCTTACACGTTCTAGGGAGAGAAATAAAAATATATTAGCAATATACACTCCCAAGGTTAGGACCAAGCACCCTGGCTGTAATCCCCCACCTGGTACACTTACCAGAAGGGGCACTGCCACTACCATGGGGTGCATCTGGATGAATGGTTGAAGGTTCTCCGCTTGAAGTTTCTTTTAGCCCGTCCGTTTGTGAGAGGATCTCTACTGCTCTCCCTGTCGCACAGAAAATAAAAATACAAGTGGCCTTTAGGGGAAAAAAATCATACATATTTTAATAATATCAAGAATTACCTTCAGGCTCAATTTGTATCTGGTCGAGGCTCTTTCCTTCGAATTCCGTCACTCTTCCCTGCTCCATGGCCATCAACACTTTGCTGATTTTGGCCAGCTCCAGTGTCCCCTCTGGTAGTCTGTAATATTGTCTGTGGATGCGAATGTCATGGCCGAGGAAGTTGGCTAGTATGTCCATTTCATTCTCTTTCATATTGAGAACTGTAGACATAGTAGCTATGTGCTTTCTAAGTTTGGTTGAGGATAGCATCTCTGGATGCACCGCACCACATTCTTTGGCTACCTGGCGTAGGGAGTCTGATCCCCTGATGTGGGTGTCTGCGCCCGGGCGGGAAAAGAAGTATGGGTTATGGTCAGAGATGGAACAGGCCCTTCTGTTCTCCACCAGCACCTCCATCCAAGCAATCATTTCAGGAGTCAAAAGAACCGGCACTTTCCGACTTCTTTTCCCTTTAATTTCAATGCGTTGAAAATGCTGACACAGCTTTTTCTCAAGTTGGGACAGTCCCAGAGCAATGTCAGAATGGATCCCAGTCTTACTTCTTAAGGTAAAGGCTGTCAGTGGCATCTTTGAAACCTCACCTTCCCTTCTTCGATTGAAAATAATGACCTCACAAAGAGTCAAAACTGCCAGTTTAGACCAATGCTTAGACGTTGGCTCACTTATTAGGGTTTGCACATATTCAGGTCGACATACCTCAATATGTGCATGCATGGCTCTAACGTCCTCAGTCAGAGGGAGCAGGTCCGGAGTGTTCCACTTGGCTTGCCGGAGGGTCTGTAGGGCAGCAGAAGAAACACAGACGTCCCACCTCTTCTCAAAAAGCAGCCGGCTTCGTTGGAGGTTTTTAATAAATAGTTCATCAACACAATGCTCCATTTTTGAGTCACATTCAAGAATATCTGCTAGCTTTCTGAGGCTATGGCCGAGTTTGAGGGCCAAGGATGGAGTCTTGTATTGATTTGTTTCCTCATCATATCCAGCCACAGACCTGACTGCATCAATCACATGGTTAAAGTTGGAAGGAATAAAGAAATCCTTAATTGTTTTCAGTTTCCCTGCAGTTTTTGCTTCGTTAATTAACCTACCGACTTCTCTCATTTTCTGCCTAATGTAATCATGCTTAGTCTTATCATGCCCGTGTTTTAAGTACAGGTGCTCTCCGAGTCTCAGAATCCCCTTTTCTGCTTTGACAACACCCGTGACCTCATCCTGATGCATTGCCGAAATTAAAGACCACAGCTTTTTGCTGATGCCCTCCGGTACAGGCTGGGCTAGGGAGTAGAGGGACTGGACCCTACTTCTACCTGGTTTAGCCTGGGCATCTTTCTGTGAAAGCCGGCACCTGGCCACATGCCTCCACAGCGACTTTCGCTTAAGCAATGCCCCACAGTCTATACAGTGCAAAAACTCACTGGATTTAACTGGGCAATTTGGCTGTTTAGCTGGGACTAAAGTTCCAATGCCGGCCTTTAAAACCTCAAAATTGTGCTCACGGTTTCCACTATTCCTGATCAAATCAAACTGAAGTTTACGTGCTTTAGATTTCACAGGTAGAGCCAATGCTCTGGCTACGTCACTTTCATTTCCATGTTTTCTAGTCAAATGACGGGACATTTTGTGGCAGGACATTGAACAGTAGAGGCAGAAGTGTCTCTTGCTATAAACTCGCCCCCCATTTTTCTTCTTTTGCAGCTGCATGATAACAATCTTATTTGCCTTTGGTTCGTCACTTTCCGAGTCTTGAAGAAAAGTGTTTTTGATTTTTCTTTTTCCATACTTTTTTACAGGTTTCTTCTTGACAGTTAAATCGTCAGAATCTGAGTCGACTTCATCAATTAGGGACTCTTGACTAAGCTGCACAAACAACAAATAATTTGTAATCATTCTATATAACAATTTGAAGTCATGACTTGTAGTCAGCACTTACCAGTGGTTTGTAAGCGTGCGCTTCAGTGTGCTCCTCCATGATTTCTTGCAGCCTGATGAACCACACACTTGCACCTTTTTCTAGCCTGACACCTGATTTCCTCTGTTGTGCTGCTCCATGATTGGCTCCAGCCTGCTGGACTGAAATTGCCCCAGTGTGCCCCTCCTTGATATCCCGCAACCCACCACCAAGGTTCCGACACATAACACACTTTTTTCAGGAAAGTAAACCTCCAGGGGTCCTTTCCATATTTTTACAGAGACTGCATAAGGACCGTTAGAAAAGCATTACCCATTGATTATTAAGCTTGGACCAGTGGGGTCCGGTGTTCGGGCCCCACCACATAAAACCAGTCCCCATGACGTGAGTGGAATCTCAGGTTATGGAACCCACCAGGAGTTGAAAACAAGTGCACACACACACACACACACACAAACGGGGCCTGCTTGACTCATGGTCCATTCATTCAGACTGAGGCATTATTCAATTTTGTGTGGGCGAACTCTCCCCGTGACCCGAGGCCTGTTTGTTTTTATGAGAAGCAGCGATGGTTTTCCTGCAGCTCTGTGCGTCTATGTTTAGAGCAGAGGTGGGTGGATTCGTGGATTTACCGACCACGGCGGCGGTGCACGGACCCTCACAAATAGGCCACAACGGACTGTTTTAGCATCTCGTCCCACTTCAGTCGCATTTAACAATTTCTCCAATTGGAAAATGCTTGAATGGATATTGTTATGTTATTTTTATTTATGGCGGAGAATGAGATGGAGGCAATTTAGAAATCCAAAAACACACAAAATAGAAGGAACAAAATAACCGTAAATAACAAGTTTTAATGAGCGAACACAATGTTTATATGTGGCTCTTCAGTCATCATTGAGAGAGGAAAGAGACCAATACAAATCTAAAAGCACTTTTCAACTTAAATTACCGATAAAGGGCCAATAGAACATTTGAATGATTTCCACTCCATGACAAAGTTATCTAAGGCTGTTTCTTCATTGATTTAATAAAGCTAATAATAAAACACATTGTTGTAATATATCCCTAATGATTTAGACACATACATACAGATATTATCAAACCATCATTATACGCCAAAAGTCCTATTTTGATTCTATTATTATTCAAAAACCTTTGGATAGTCAGTACATTATGGTTAATAGAGGTGGGATCTTTAAAAGCCTGATGCCACAATTTAACAAAAATACAGCACTGCATTTGTATGTCATGTATTGATCGTTTTTTAAAGTCTAATAATAATAAATATAGTTGTATATAAATGAAAATGATTATGCTTCCCATTACAAAAAAATCTGTATATTTCTAAAAAAAATCCATGTTTTCGCACACCCCTAACCTTTAGTGTGACAAATTCTAAATGTCTCTGTGATGTAACTTTTCTCCAGTCTGTTTGAATGCTTTGTGATGGTATTTCTTCTCCTGGAAAGTACCAAAATAAGCCGTTATTTGTATTTTTGTATTATGACTTATTTTATTGCTTTAAAAAATGACTTCATAAACAGACTTTCTAACAACAAGCAAAACAACCTTCCCTCAGATCTGACCTGGAACTCGGCCACTTGTTTTTCCCCAAAGAGACCGGGACACTGTAGATTTCACAATGATCGAGCCATTATTGTCATCCATGGTGTAAGGTCATAATGAGCCTCCAGCTACAGCGTAAGACGTGTGGATCTCACCTCTGAGTCTCCTCTCGTGTTTTGGCTATAATTGGAATGTGCCCAGGTTCCATCTCTGCATCATGGACGGAACCTAAGGATTTTCCAGGTCCGCTCCACCTCTCACACTTCCACTCTGCAGCAGGAGGCACGAGGCGGCCAGCTCCGAGCAGCGTGGGCTGAAACAGGTGGAAGAGAAAGGAATCACCATGATACAGACAGAGAACCTTTAGCATTGCAACGAACAACTGAGACAGGTGTGAATTAGCTACGACTGCTACAGCCTGCTACATTCTGTTCCACCTGTTACAGCCTGCTACAGCCTGTTCCACCTGCTACAGCCTGTTACAGCCTGCTACATTCTGTTACAGCCTGCTACAGTCTGTTCCACCTGCTACAGCCTGTTACAGCCTGCTACATTCTGTTACAGCCTGCTACATTCTGTTCCACCTGCTACAGCCTGTTACAGCCTGCTACATTCTGTTACAGCCTGCTACATTCTGTTCCACCTGCTACAGCCTGTTACAGCCTGCTACAGTCTGTTACAGCCTGCTACATTCTGTTACAGCCTGCTACAGTCTGTTACAGCCTGCTACAGTCTGTTCCACCTGCTACAGCCTGTTACAGCCTGCTACATTCTGTTACAGCCTGCTACATTCTGTTCCACCTGCTACAGCCTGTTACAGCCTGCTACAGTCTGTTACAGCCTGCTACATTCTGTTACAGCCTGCTACAGTCTGTTCCACCTGCTACAGCCTGTTACAGCCTGCTACATTCTGTTACAGCCTGCTACATTCTGTTCCACCTGCTACAGCCTGTTACAGCCTGCTACAGCCTGTTACAGCCTGCTACATTCTGTTACAGCCTGCTACAGTCTGTTCCACCTGCTACAGCCTGTTACAGCCTGCTACATTCTGTTACAGCCTGCTACATTCTGTTCCACCTGCTACAGCCTGTTACAGCCTGCTACAGTCTGTTACAGCCTGCTACATTCTGTTACAGCCTGCTACAGCCTGCTACAGCCTGTTCCACCTGCTACAGCCTGTTACAGCCTGCTACATTCTGTTACAGCCTGCTACATTCTGTTACAGTCTGTTACAGCCTGCTACAGTCTGTTACAGCCTGCTACATTCTGTTACAGCCTGCTACAGCCTGCTACAGTCTGTTCCACCTGCTACAGCCTGTTACAGCCTGCTACATTCTGTTACAGCCTGCTACAGTCTGTTCCACCTGCTACAGCCTGTTACAGCCTGCTACAGTCTGTTACAGCCTGCTACAGCCTGCTACAGCCTGTTACAGCCTGCTACATTCTGTTCCACCTGTTACAGCCTGCTACAGCCTGTTACAGCCTGCTACAGTCTGTTACAGCCTGCTACAGTCTGTTACAGCCTGCTACAGTCTGTTACAGCCTGCTACAGCCTGCTACAGTCTGTTCCACCTGCTACAGCCTGTTACAGCCTGCTACAGTCTGTTACAGCCTGCTACATTCTGTTACAGCCTGCTACAGCCTGTTACAGCCTGCTACATTCTGTTCCACCTGTTACAGCCTGCTACAGCCTGTTACAGCCTGCTACAGTCTGTTACAGCCTGCTACAGTCTGTTACAGCCTGCTACAGCCTGTTACAGCCTGCTACATTCTGTTACAGCCTGCTACAGTCTGTTCCACCTGCTACAGCCTGTTACAGCCTGCTACAGTCTGTTACAGCCTGTTACAGCCTGCTACAGCCTGTTACAGTCTGTTCCACCTGCTACAGCCTGTTACAGCCTGCTACAGCCTGTTACAGCCTGCTACAGCCTGCTACAGTCTGTTCCACCTGCTACAGCCTGTTACAGCCTGCTACAGTCTGTTACAGCCTGCTACATTCTGTTACAGCCTGCTACAGTCTGTTCCACCTGCTACAGCCTGTTACAGCCTGCTACAGTCTGTTACAGCCTGTTACAGCCTGCTACAGTCTGTTACAGCCTGCTACAGTCTGTTCCACCTGCTACAGCCTGTTACAGCCTGCTACAGCCTGTTACAGTCTGTTCCACCTGCTACAGCCTGTTACAGCCTGCTACAGCCTGTTACAGCCTGCTACAGCCTGCTACAGTCTGTTCCACCTGCTACAGCCTGTTACAGCCTGCTACAGTCTGTTACAGCCTGCTACATTCTGTTACAGCCTGCTACAGTCTGTTCCACCTACTACAGCCTGTTACAGCCTGCTACAGTCTGTTACAGCCTGCTACAGCCTGCTACAGCCTGTTATAGCCTGCTACATTCTGTTCCACCTGTTACAGCCTGCTACAGCCTGTTACAGCCTGTTACAGCCTGCTACAGTCTGTTACAGCCTGCTACAGTCTGTTACAGCCTGCTACAGTCTGTTACAGCCTGCTACAGCCTGTTACAGCCTGCTACAGCCTGTTACAACCTGCTACAGCCTGTTACAGTCTGTTACAGCCTGCTACAGCCTGTTACAGCCTGCTACAGCCTGTTACAGCCTGTTACAGCCTGTTACAGCCTGTTACAGCCTGTTACAGCCTGCTACAGCCTGTTACAGCCTGCTACATTCTGTTCCACCTGCTACAGCCTGTTACAGCCTGCTACAGCCTGTTACAGCCTGCTACAGCCTGTTACAGCCTGCTACAGCCTGTTACAACCTGCTACAGCATGCTACAGCCTGTTACAGCCTGCTACAGCCTGTTACAGCCTGCTACAGCCTGTTACCACCTGCTACAGCCTGCTACAGCCTGTTACAGCCTGCTACAGCCTGCTACAGCCTGCTACAGTCTGTTACAGCCTGCTACAGTCTGTTACAGCCTGCTACAGCCTGCTACAGCCTGCTACAGCCTGTTACAGCCTGCTACAGCCTGTTACCACCTGCTACAGCCTGTTACAGTCTGTTACAGCCTGTTACAGCCTGCTACAGCCTGTTACAGCCTGCTACAGTCTGTTACAGCCTGCTACAGTCTGCTACAGCCTGCTACAGCCTGCTACAGCCTGTTACAGCCTGTTACAGCCTGCTACAGCCTGTTCCACCTGCTAGAGCCTGTTACAGCCTGCTACAGCCTGTTACAGCCTGCTACATTCTGTTCCACCTGCTACAGCCTGTTACAGCCTGCTACAGTCTGTTCCACCTGCTACAGCCTGTTACAGCCTGCTACAGTCTGTTACAGCCTGTTACAGCCTGCTACAGTCTGTTACAGCCTGCTACAGTCTGTTCCACCTGCTACAGCCTGTTACAGCCTGCTACAGCCTGTTACAGCCTGCTACAGTCTGTTCCACCTGCTACAGCCTGTTACAGCCTGCTACAGCCTGTTACAGCCTGCTACATTCTGTTCCACCTGTTACAGCCTGCTACAGCCTGTTACAGCCTGCTACAGTCTGTTACAGCCTGCTACAGTCTGTTACAGCCTGCTACAGTCTGTTACAGCCTGCTACAGTCTGTTACAGCCTGCTACAGCCTGTTACAGCCTGCTACAGCCTGTTCCACCTGCTACAGCCTGTTACAGCCTGCTACATTCTGTTACAGCCTGTTACAGTCTGTTCCACCTGCTACAGCCTGTTACAGCCTGCTACAGCCTGCTACAGCCTGCTACAGTCTGTTCCACCTGCTACAGCCTGTTACAGCCTGCTACAGTCTGTTACAGCCTGCTACATTCTGTTACAGCCTGCTACAGTCTGTTCCACCTGCTACAGCCTGTTACAGCCTGCTACAGTCTGTTACAGCCTGCTACAGCCTGTTACAGCCTGCTACATTCTGTTCCACCTGTTACAGCCTGCTACAGCCTGTTACAGCCTGCTACAGTCTGTTACAGCCTGCTACAGTCTGTTACAGCCTGTTACAGTCTGTTACAACCTGCTACAGCCTGTTACAGCCTGCTACAGCCTGTTACAGTCTGTTACAGCCTGCTACAGTCTGTTACAGCCTGCTACAGCCTGTTACAGCCTGCTACAGCCTGTTACAGCCTGCTACAGCCTGTTACAACCTGCTACAGCCTGTTACAGCCTGTTACAGCCTGCTACAGCCTGTTACAGCCTGATACAGTCTGTTACAGCCTGCTACATTCTGTTACAGCCTGCTACAGTCTGTTACAGCCTGCTACAGCCTGCTACAGCCTGCTACAGCCTGCTACAGCCTGCTACAGCCTGTTACCACCTGCTACAGCCTGTTACAACCTGCTACAGCCTGCTACAGCCTGCTACAGTCTGTTACAGCCTGCTACAGCCTGTTACAGCCTGCTACAACCTGCTACAGCCTGTTACAGCCTGCTACAACCTGCTACAGCCTGCTACAACCTGCTACAGCCTGCTACAGCCTGTTACAGCCTGCTACAGCCTGCTACAGCCTGTTACAGCCTGCTACAGCCTGCTACAGCCTGCTACAGCCTGCTACAAACTGCTACAGCCGGTTACAGCCTGCTACAAACTGTCATTGTGAAATAAAGGATATATGAAGTGCACCTTTACCTTCAATGATTATATCTCCCTATAGTTTCCTTCCATTGTAAGGACTAGATGGTAATAATCCAGTGCATTAATCGTGGCTCTGATCTCCGTTGACAAGCCGATTGTATTTTATGGTCCTCAAGAACATGCATGAACACCGGGCTCAGTAGTAGGAGTAAACACTGTGGATTGGGGGTGAGCTTCCAAACATTTTCCTCTGTTTTGCATCAATTTTCATAACAGATACATTTTACATCTTTTCAATTCAGCTATTATGTTTTTTCCCATTTGCTTTACACTGCGTTTTTTCAGGACTCTCAAAGACGCTCCACATGTCATTATTCGTTCGGTGGGGATGTAGCCATGGCTGCCCTGGGGCACAGTGACAGAAGCGAGGCCACCAATCTGTGCCATTGTCCGCTCGGAGCACCACCAGCCATTCACACACACCAGACTCATATAGACAATGTGGATGAAGTGTCTTGCCTGAGGACACCACTGCAGTTTGGCACTTTACAGCCACAGCTGCCCCACTGTGGCACCTGTACTCCCAGAGGTCTCCCATCTCAGTACTAACCAAACCAGGCCCTCCCCTGCTTAGCTTCAGAGGTCTGACTTTCACCTGCAGTTATGGCCAAAGTAAAGCTCAAAAGAACAAGAATCTTAAACGACGTAAGCAGAAGTCATCTTAAAGAGTATTATTTCTGTATCAGTGCATGAGGGTTTTTGACTTGCAAAGAATCCAGCATCATTTGTCTTGCTTTGTGTTTCCTTTTTATCATTTTGAGTTTAAGAATGATAGACTCAATCATAACCTATAATAAAACGAACCTAAACTTAATCCAAACTTGAAAAACAAAGTAATGTCTGTGTTCTTTGGTGGAATCCTCCTCTCTCAGCCTGGTCTGCACTGGTTGCACGTACTACTACAGTAAGAAGAAGCGTCGCATCTCTGCTCTTCCCTGACGGGTCTCTCCCCTCCTCCCCCCTCCCCTCCCCTTGCGCGGTAAGGCGATCCCAGCCAATCAGCTCACTTTCCGCTCCTGCCTGGCGAACTGACGGCGGGCGGGAGGCGGACACCACTCTTGGCTCTGTATAAAACCCACTTTTTGGCGTGGGATTTCTCTGCTACCTTTGCCCATGTGCGCGGACATAGCTTTCCCAGGTGAAAAAACCCCCAAAACAAAACAAACAAACAACACTGCACGGACTGTCCAAGCACCGCTGGGGACGCGCTGCTAATACGGATGCGTGGTTCATGAATGATAGGTTTCATTTATTTTTATTTTTATTTATTCTTAAAGTGAAAGAAACGTTGAAGAGAATGCGGCACGATGCTGAAGTGATATGTGGACGTCTCCTCTTCTCCCCCTCCGCCCTGGCTTCAGCGTCACTACTCTGGTCTGTGTGAGAGACTCAGACCCAGCTCTCCATCTGCGAGGTACCACACGCTTTCCTCTTTACAAACACCAACTCAATTAGGGACTTTTAAATGCAAGTCAAAGCATGGGGTGCATCAGCTCTAAAGCACCAATTGGTAAGACTTTGAATCTTTGCCTCATGTTTATTTTTGTAAATATATATAAATGTGTTTTTCGGCTTGCTCGCTGCTGCATTGGCTTCCCCTCCTTTCCTCCCTTTCCCTCTTCCTTGCAACCATTTGACGTATATTTCGATTGTGTTATTGCAAAACCACGCGCACCTCCATGATTTAGCACGTCTCGAGGTTAAACGCTGCGAGACGGAGAGGTGATGGATGGACGTGGTTGGTTGCACATTCTGCCTAAACATCGCGATGCTACGAGAGAGTTGCAAGAAGAAGGAGCGAAGGGGGGAAAAGCTCTTTTTGGTTGTTGGGAAGGTTGAGGAGCAGCGATCGCCACCACCACCAACCGACCACCAACCGACCACCAACCGACCACCAACCAACCCGTATAGCACCCCAGACTTGGCTCCCGCTTGGAGGCATGCCTTTCTCCAGAAGACACCTCGCATAGTTTAAGTCTTCTTTCGTAATAACCTGAAGAATCTTGCGGCAGGCGCGATGGTTCTGACCGCTCTGACCCAATTTAGTTGCAAGGTAGGAGGCAATTTTTACGCATAGGATGAGACGCGCGATCTCGTCTCTCTACATTCCATAACACATACCCTCGCCTATATTTCTTGCCTTTTAACTATCTCTATTTCCCGCTGTCTTGTCTGCTTGTTTACCCGGTTTGATCCTCGCTTTGGCGTCTGTACATGTCGCTAAAAAAGGACGCTGCATGTGCTTCCCAAGCTGAGCCACAAGCTTTCCGCACCTGGGTATTACATATGAAGTCATAACACCTTACCAACCGTGCCCTATTCCGTGCGTATTTACACGTATCACCCATGCGTAATTGTAGCGACTTCTTTAAGGCTGGCACAAATTCGTCTTTATCAATATGTTTGCACCTGTTACGTCCATTCTTCTTGACTGCAGTGATTTTGGGACTGAGAATGTTCTGTATACAAACCCAGAGACTGCTGTGTGCTTTTGAGTTTCGTCTCTCTATATCTATATGTGTGATTGTGCGTGTGCGTGTGTGACTCTATTGGCTTTGGTGATTATGGCGTCTCCTGGATGTGTCGAGGACGTGCGCTGCTGCAATCATTATTAGCCCATATTTCCACTTGTAGGTCAAAAGCAGCAACAGCAGCAGCAGCTTTAGCAGACACCTGTTCGGTTGCTTGTAACCTATCGACTGCGCATAGTGGAGACATGACGCCAGCTCCACTGCGTTTTCCTCCTGACCTGAATTATCCCGTATAGACTTCCCCGTTTTGTTTCTGTACATTCGGTGAGGACTGGAGACTGGAGGAGAGGAGGACAAAAAACTAAAAAACAGAAGGAAAATACAACATATAGCGTTAAAGCTTGAGGTCTCTCTCTTTTTGTCTCTCCAGTTTCCACGACAACCACGTCTACAAAGAAGGAGCGCGCGAGTGTGTGTGTGTGCGTCAATCATAAAAGGCAAAGAGAATGAAATACGCAAAACAAGAAAAAAAGCAAAAACATAATTGAGCAGACACGCAAATGGCAAGTATGCGAGGATGTGTTTGGTGATGGCAAGAATGATGCTGATGGGAGAGAGAAGGCGGTGATGCTACAGTTTGTGTGTGTGTGTTGCAATCAGTGTTATGCAAATCGCTTGTGATAATTTGCCAAAGTGTTCATTAACGAGATAAGAATCATAAACATGGAAAAAGAAAGCACTGCTGAAGAGGACGTGGCCTGTGCGTAATAGCGTTTCTTCACATGGTTTTGATTCTTATACGTATATGTGGGGATATGTCAGGAGCAAAACACATCGGGTGAGGTGGCTGAGTGGGTTTCCTTCAGGTGCTCCGGTTTTCCACCTACCAGTAAAATCATGTAGTGTATATGTCTGGCATGCGACTCCTGTACTGGCTACCCCGCTCCCATCTCTGTGTGACTCTGGTCTGTGAAAGGCGCTATATAGATAGATATTATTTACTTACATTTTAAAGAAGCATATTTTGCAGTTGAGTCTGATATAGGGCTGCATCTTTAAGTCCCTGCAGTCTGTCTAATCATGTAAAAAAAGGAATTTACTTTGTGAATTTGACCGTCATTGAATCGTATGTGTTATTGCTTTAAATGCACTGCTTACATTTGAGTTTTTCCCCAAAATGAATGAGTTGTTAAAGATATAGAGGTGGATTTAACCAAATTTTCACTTTTTGAACAAAACTCTCTGGTCTAAGCGAACGTATCACCAGAATGATTGAAAACTAGTTGGACCAATAGTCTTGATGATCCACCCGGAAGAAGAAATTCCTCCTGTATACCTTTATGTGTTTTAATTGAGTCTAGCTATCAATCATTTTATCAATAAAATGCTTTTCAAACAAATGAATGCAACGCAAAGTACACACACACACACAAAATCATGAAAAGAAACAAACACATTCCCAGCGTCCGTTGAATCCAGATCGTACCAAATATAAAACACGTTCTTTGGTTTTGATAAGAATTGTTCAAACTTGGGCTAAACCAGCGGCGGTGAGAGTTTTGGTCTGATTTGTCTCATTTGAATCATTTCCGAACATGATGTAATCCACAGCTGCTTTACCACAAACGGCATCAGGCGGCTGTGCACTCAGGCTTTTGCTTCTTCTCTGCACATGTGGCCAAATAAATCTAATTATTCATGTTTTGTTGGCGCCGTTCAGAGATTTCAGATTTCAGATTGGTCAAAGCTGTTTTCTAAAAGTGCAGTTATGGCTTTGATGATACAACAAAAATCCAGCATTTCTTAAACATTTTGCTGTAAATCTTTCAGTTCTACCATGTGCGGCAGAGTGGCTGAGTGGTTAGCTTTCTTGCCTCCCAGTAAGAAGGTTCTGGGGCCTTTCTGAGTGGAGTTTGCATGGTCTCCCTGTGTCTGCGTAGTTCCTCCAGGTGCTCCGGTTGCCTTTATAATGAAAGCATGTAAAATAGCTCCCATCTCCCTTGAAGAAAAAGAGAAATCTTAGTGGAACTTAGTTAAATAAAGGTGAATTAACAATAACGATAATACAAATTATATATAGTTATGTCTAAGTTAGAAATGTGTGGGAATTGTAAACAATCACTTCATAATAATAATAATAATAATAATACATTGATTTAAAAGTGCCTTTCAAAACACCCAAGGACACAGTACAAATATGGTTAAAAACAGAGTGAAATAAAAAAACATTAGTATTATTAAAAAATAGAAAACAACAGAACTGTACAAAGGTGTTGGGGGGATGTCATGTGACTGGTCATGTGACTTCTCATTTGGGGAAAGAAAGTTTGAGTTTGTGGGGAGTTTTGAGTCTGGATTTGAGCAGTGGAAGAGAGTCTGTGTTGCGGAGGTCAGGGGGGAGTGAGATCCAGAGCTGGGCAGCATATACTGTATACATCGGCACGGCAAGTTTATTTGTATAGCACAATTCATGCACAAAGCAACTCAAAGTGCAGAACAAAACATCTATATCTACTATCTATTTTGTATTGATATCTCCATAAGATGTTAATTTTGCTCAGAACAAAACCACAAACCGCGATCGCGCTGTTGGTTAGAATGATCCCAGCTAGATTTTGTCCATAAAAAACCCATTTCTTTATAATTTTCTTGGTTCACAATCAAAATAGCTGCATCTCCCGGGGCTCAAACCAATCACTAATCTATACACAGGCTTTGGTCGGATTTTCCTGTTCCTTCTTTTGTGCAAAGTTTTTTCCTCATTAATAGATTAGCCATGAATGCTTGTTGGCTGCGTCCGGGTCAGCTGTGTTTTCCCTTTAGCCTCTTCATTTGCATCTCTCCGCTGACTCAGGGCCAGTGCCGCAGAAGCCCTGGATTAAAAGACTCGTGTGAAGCTAAAGAGAAGCAAGAAAGAGACTTCTGGTGGACGGAGGTCGGAGGGCGCGCTGCAGAAATCTATTAGCGAATGCCGCATTAACAGCCGTGCATCGCTGGGTTGCAGGTCAATACCGCACTGGTCCAAGTCTACACACTTTTATAGGAAATTCCTTGATTTCTGAAATTGGGATTAGGATTAGATTAGTATTCGTCTCCACTTTGCAATCTGTGTTGGCAGGAGATGCGTTTTTGTTCTCACTGTTTCAATGTTTGCTGTGTATGCTATGGCAGATTTGATGATTTACTTTACATGGAGGATGTTTGCGAGAATAAATACAATATGGAAATGAGTAGACTGCAAAAAGTTATGAAAAAGAAGTCAAGAAATTGCTTAAATTTGACATTTCTTGATCATTTTGCTTTGTCTCATCTTGTTTTAAGGCAATCCAAATGTGCTCAAATTAATGTACATAAAACCACAGTTCATGAAAGAAATCAGAATGTATTCAAAATAAGATAAAATTTTATCATTTTTTGCAGTATAGACTTGAGCTAAACCTTTCTATAGATATTACAGTATCTCTATTCTGTGTATATATTGACGTGTAAAAAATGCAGCCTGAGAAAAACATTGGAAATTAGTTCAAGCTCCTGATAGCAGCTTATTCCAATGTGGCCCAGAGGAGGAGAAGTTTGCCCAAACCTGGTCTAACACACAGCTCTACAACTCAAGCTAAATTTAAAGAATGGACTGACTCTGGACCAGGACTAAACAA